TTTTTTTTTATTGATAAATTGATTGATTGGTGGGGGATGGGTCGCCCCCTCCACCCCCACCCAATCACACACGTACACACACACACACACACACACACACACACACACACACACACACACACACAATCAGTTTTATGTTTGTCGGTCTTTTTCCTGTTGTTTGTCATCCCTTTGATTTTTTCCAAGTATTTTCTTTGTGTGCCCAACTGAGCACCCTTAAGTAGTGCCCAAAAGTTGGTGGTTCCTCGTTTGGAGTGCCAACTGCACTCTTAGGGGGGCCGCTCTGTTCGGGAGGTCTGTGTTGCCTATGGGTGATGACGGATGCTCGCCGGAGTGACTTCCTGGCTCAGTGGGTGGTGGGAACCAACAGTTTGCGGGGTTCAACCGTGATGTGAGTAGATCATGCGCTGCTTTGCTTCGTGTTGGATGTGTGGACGTCCTCGTCTGCGCTCTGCCACTGCCCTGCTGCCTGTCCCGCTTGCTTCGCATGTGGCTCTTTGCAGGTTGATGTGTTCGCTTTGCGGTGTGACCGTGTTGCTGGTATTGCCTTGCGCTTCGCTGCTCCGCTGCCTTGCTGCCCTTCCGTTGGCTGTGCCTTCCGTGTTTGCTGCTTGTGGGCCTTGTTGAGGTTGCCTTGTACTTTGCTCCATGGTTGCCGAGTTGCTGGTCCGCTTGCCCTGTCGGCCCTTGCAGTATGGTTGTCTTGCTTGTGTTGCCTTGCGCTTCACGACACGGTTGCTGCGCTGCTTGTCCTGCGTGCCATGTCGTTCCTTGCAGTCGTTTTTGGCGTTGTGCGGCCGTGTTGCCTCTACTGTGTTGCCTGGTGCTCCACAAGATTGTTGCCCCCTGCTATGGTCCGCTTGGGGACAGTCTACCCTCAACGAGGGCCAAAGGGTTCATGACCCAAACCATCAAATACGGGGATTCCGCAGATTGTCGAAGGTTCAGCCTCCTGATGAGTCGGTGCAACTCCGACGAAACAATCTTGTCATCATCGATTTTTTATTTTTTTTTTATTTTTTTCGGTCTTCGCTGTTTTTGGGTACTTGTATTTTTGCTTTGCATGCTTTCTGTGTTTGAGTGATATCTACCCTCCCTCCTCCCCCGTGCCTTCCACCCATTGTCTTTTGTTGTTGCCTGCTGTCTTATGCTTGGGGTATTTTTCTGTAACTGCATTTTTTTGTTTTTCTTTGTTTTTTTTGCATTTATGTATAGTCTGCCCTCCCACCTCCCCCGTGCCCCCCAGTCCTTGTGCCCTTCTGCAGTTTGTTGTCGTTGCCTCCTTGCCTTTTGCCTTATTGTGCTTCCTTTCCCCGTCTTGTGGTGTCTATTTGATCGTGTGTGTTCCAGTTCACCCGCAAAGTGCAGTGGGAGCATAAATGGTTGTGTAGTCCGGCATAGTCATTCCCAACCTTACAGTATAGGTTCCGTCTGCACCACACCTACAAGTTTTTGTTCCTGAGCTTGCTCCTGTAGTCCGGCATAGTCATTCTCCACCTACGAGTACTGGATGCGTCTGCACCACGCCTACAAGTTTTCATTCTTAAGGTACGCCGATATATTATTTCGGAACTTGATTATGACGTGGTTTCCGTATCCTACAGTAATCATGTCTTATTATGCGGGTTACTCGCTTACACACACACACACACACGCACACACACACACACATACAGACACACTCTCATTTCCTTGCGTGGGGTTTGAAAGCTGTTTTTTTTATTTTTTTTTTTACTTTTTTTTTTTTTTTT